TCCGCCCCCGCCTGCCGCGGCTTCTCCTCTGCCGCCGCCTCCTCCTGGCGGCTCCGGGTGGGAAGGGAGGCGCTGTGACTCTCGGCAACGGGACCTGCAGCTCCAAAGGCGCAGAACCCGCGACGCTGGGGCTGGGGAGCGCTGGAAGCCGTCGGAGCTCCGAGTTCCGGCGCAGCGACCTGCGCCGCGGCGCAATCGTAGCCCGAATCGGGCAGGCGGCGATCCCCAGGAACGCGGTTCTGTGCGGAGCGTCCTCGCTCGCCCACATTCGCTACTTGCACTCACTCACAGCCACCAGCGCTTGAGAGGGGAGCAGGAGGGGGCGGGTCAGGCCCAACCCCCGGGGCGGCTCCTGTGAAGGAGGGTCGCTTTTACCCGCCCTGTGAGTCCACGCAAGATCGTGGCGTTTTCCAGCCACCCTCCGGCGGGCTAATCACTCTAAGTGAATCCCCGTCCTCTCTATCCATTCCTGCCACTGGCAGAAGGGGGACTCCAGGGCGTCTCTCCCCCACCTCACCCCCGCCCCTCCCGGGCTCCAGCGTAGGTTCTGGGGATCCCAGCTGGGCTTTCCGGTAGGCGAGCCCGCTTTGGAAACACACGGCTGCCACCTAGCGGCCCCGAGGAGTAGCTGCAACCCCAACCCTGGAATAGCTAACAGGACTCCGGTCAACAACCACCCGAGGCCCTATCCGGACTGAATCGCTTCATTTATTACAAAGCGAAATTGCCATTTTGGCTTGCTTTCCAGTTTCTTTCCCTCTCTGACCTCTTTCCTTTAGCATCAGGTCAAAACAGAGCTTGGCTGACCAGGGTTCTAGAACACCTGCACTCCAGGGTTGGTGGGAAGGAATCATGCCTCTGGAAAGCTGGGAGGTGGTAAGAACCAGCACCCGGAGAGGGGTCTTAGACAAAAGAATCCAGCAAAACTCAAAAATCCTATGTGGGGGGACCAGCAGGTGGTGTGGTGGTTAAGGCATAGGACACTCTCACATGGCTGATCACAGTTTGAGTCCCCAACCTGGTAGCTTGCTTCTCTCTCTCTCTCTCTGATCAAATTAAAATAAATGAATAAATAAAATTAAATAATTTTTTTTAAAAATTCTACCTGATTCAAAGCCTCCTTTGTCATTGGCTGTGAGTATTCCCTTTTTACTAGAGCGTAAACTGAGGTGGGTGCTGTCAAAAGGTGCTATTTTCCTAAAGTCATAGAATAATCAATATCAGGAATTTTCCAAACATCAGGCCTCTGCAAACTTTCTTAAGTTCCCTTTTAAAGCCAAGGCTACTATAAACAGCTAGCCTCTGTTTCAGCATTGGGCCCAAGTGCAGAAAACCTTTTCAAAACCAGACGCTGGGCTGGGCCCCTGGCCTAGCGATGAAGGGAGCCAGATCCCACATGGCTGACTGCAAGGTTAGCATCCTGGCCCTGGTGGCTTGAAAAACACTGGGGCACATGTACACAGGAGTCCAAAAACCTGACAGAGAAATGGGGAAAGGATTGCAGTGACTATGCCCCATTGGAGAGATGCTTTCTCCTCCCCCTCATCTGCTGAGTTCTGGCAACCAAAAACATGCTGACTGACGGGGAAAGTTCTTGCATACAATTGCTGGTCTGAATTTACTTTGCCATTCTGAACACCAGGACTGATCTTGAAGTTAGTCTTAACTGCCCACGTTCTGGAGAAATTAAACTGATCTCAAGATAGTTTGTAATGGCCAACCATCAACAGATGGACAGAAACGCCGCCACTAGGCCCCAAGTCTACCATCTTTGATCTTGTCAGGAAGTCTTCTGATAGACCGTCAAGAGGTGGTTTTGGCTTACCACCTGCTTAAAAGCATTTGAAGTATCTCCTAGGAATCATACTTCCGGGGCCAGCAGGTGGTGTGGTGGTTAAAGGCTCTGGACTTCCACATGGCAGGCTGTGGTTAAAGTCTCAGAACTGGTGGCTTGCTTTCTCACTTTCTCTATTTCTCTCTATTTCTCTCTCTCTGGTCAAATTAGAAAATAATAATAAATATAATAATTCTTTTTTTAAAAAAAGAATCATACTGCCAATTTTCTATACTGTTACTCTTCTATATTCGTCTCTACTATTTAATACCTGCATAACTACATCCTATCTAAAAACCTATCTAAACACTCAGTAAAGTGTACTTGGCGATCCCTCCCATCACACAAACAAGGCAAAGCACGAAGTCCATCCGAGAGCACAGTTCTGAATGAGAGCATGGATTGGAGTCAGTGGCCTTGGATTTGAATTTTGCCTCCAACCTTTACTCCAATAGCAACGGCCTGTGACTCCTTCCCTATTGCAAAGTACATGTACGAACTCTGAAGAGCTGTTGAACCAAAGGAAGTCATGCTTAGACTGGCGCACGATAGAGGTTCCAAACAATCTAGCTGGTATTAGCTATGGTTCTGTTTATCTACATTTTTTTTTCACCATTTCATGAAGTAGAAAGGCAGGATCAACCAATTTGCAGTTAAAGAGCTGTCTAACCAGAATCTGTCCTGTAATGCCAAGCCCCGTCGTTTTATCAGGAGCCCTTCCCCACCCTCAGACCTAGTTTCACAGATCCACTTACCATATGCATGAATCTTAAATGGCTTCTATTGGGATTTTCTATGTGATACAAGAGGAACTTGAAAAAGTTAATGAAAAGTGCACAAATTTATTTTGGTGCAAAAATGTAGTTTTCGGGGGCGGGGGGCATGTGCACTCACCAGAGACAGACAGGGAAAGTGAGAAATCACCCCCGAGGGGGGGGAATAGCCATTCCACAATCCCTTCTCCATTCTCTTTGGGATTTGGGGCATGCAGGCACGATCATGAAGCTACCAGCCCCAAAAACCGTTCCAGGAAACCATGTGGGAGCCGATGCCTTAACCTCCACATCACCCGCTGTCTTCTCCCCAATTTTTTAATCCATTCAGTTTTTTCCATTTCCATTAATCGCTTAAAGACCACACATGTATTCATACAGCATTTACTATGTGCCACTAATTTGGCACTTATCTTCTAAAGGATTATTTAATTTTATTTATTACTATTCTTTTTAATTTGCTATAGGGCATGTGCGCTCACCAGAGACACAGAAAGGGAAAGTGACAAAGCAGGCCACCAGGTCTGGGACTCAATCGGTGACCGGCTACGTGTGAGTCCATTTCCCCCAATCACCACACCACCTGCCACCCCCAGGAGTCACTTCTTAAAAATCCATTCAGCCTGGGACCAGCAAATGACATAATGGTTACACTGACTGCAGTTTGAGTCCCAGACCCAGTGGCTTAAAACTCACACAGAGCACATGTGCGTGCATGCCCAAGATCCCTAGAGAAAAATGGATAAAGGATTGTGGCGTGGCTATCCCCCTGGGGCGTGATTTCTTGCTTTCTGTCTGTCTCTGTCTTGATGGCGAATACATGTGCCCTACAGCAGACATCTCTCTAAAATAAATAAATAATTCAGTCACTATTTATTGCGTTTGTACTGGGTTGTCAGGTCCTCTCTGAGGATAGACAAGGTCCCTGCACTAAAAAGCAGTTAACTTCTTTTATTTATTTATTTTTTTGACAGATTTTTGCTATAGGGCATGTGCGCTCGCCAGAAAGACAAGAGACGGAGAGACAGAAAGCGAGAAATCCCCCCCCCAGGGGGGGATGGCCACGCCGCAATCCCTTCTCTTCCATTCTCCTCTCGGGATCTTGGGCACGCACGCACACGCACCCCGCATGCATTTAAGCCACCGGGTCCGGGACTCAAATCATGGTCGACTACATGGGAGTTCAGCGACATAGCCATTACGCTGACTGCTGGTCTCCTTCTTTTTTTAAAAAAAAAAGAATTAATATTTTTTTCACATGAGTTTTGCCAAAGAAAGCAAGAGAAAGGGAGAAAGCAAGTTGCCATGTTCAGGACTCAAACCAGTCGGCCATGTGGGAATTCCAGTGCCTTAACCACCACGCCACCTGCTGGCCCCACCACTTAACTTCTACCTGGAAGAGTGGGCATTAAGTAAAAGAACCCAAGAGGCAAACGCCACCTTGTTACCAGTGTTTTCAAAGAAATGTGGGACGAGATAAAGAAAAAGCAGTGGGACGGGATAAAGAAAAAGCAGTAGTCCTCGAAAGATCTCTTGGTAACAGTTCAGCTAAGACCCAGCCAGGCAAAGAAGTACTCCAGGCAA